ACTTTTCATTATGAGTGATTACATTTTTCACACTTCTACAATAATTATTACTAATTATATTAATTTTGCACTCAAATAAAAAACATTGTTCATGAGATTTGGAGGGTTTTAAAAATCTAAACGACTATGTAACCATTATCTAAGCGTTGAAGACGCAATTATGAACATTTATTATGCTTAGGGGTGGGCATAAAAACCGCCAAACCGCAAAACCGCATCGAACCGTAAGAAAAAAAACCGAAAAAAACCGTGTTGACTGAAAAACCGAACCGAACCGTTCAAACCGGTTCCGGTTCCGGTTTCGAATGACCAAGAACCGGCCGAACCGAACCGAACCGTTTTATTAATAATAAATAAATTATATATACACACACATGTCATGGTATAATAGGTTGAAAAATAGGTTGAAAAATTGTGTACAGGAGCTACTGCTTCTTGCTTGCTCTCTGAAGTCTGAAAACTTGCAATTTGTTTCATCATTTTTTTGTTTGTTAACTGATTGACCAGTGCATATGTATTTTAGTTGTCTCTTTTTGTTGACTTGATGCCACTACCAAAGACATTTGCATTAAAAAAGATGTGTTGTATGCAACTTTATGTAATCAGTTTTAAAAGATGTATTTGAATGCATAATGATTTGGTGTTCAAATAATTTATTATTAGGAACCGTAAACCAGCAAGAGCCGAATCGGAACCGGTGTAAACCGAACCGTAATGTTCTAGTCATAAATTTAAGTGGAACCGCACCGAATCGAACCGTTAATATATTTCGGTTCCGGTTCCAATTTAGGGGTGGAACCGCACCGAACCGCACCGTGCCCACCTTTATGCTTTCACATCTTTCAGACTTATACATTAATGATTATGAATTTTGTTTATTTTTTATGGTTATAAAAATTCAAACAATCATATACCCATCCTCAAAGCGTAGAGGATGCGATTACGAGCGTTTGCATATTTTTTCATATTTTTCGCACATGTAAATTAATTATTATAATTTTTTAATGTGTTTGATATTTTTAAATTACTCGATATTTTTATTTTGGGTAAATCTCAGTTTACTACCCTCACGTTTCGTGGTTTTCAACATTTAGTACATCAAGTTTTTTTCGTTCCAGGGTCATACCTAAAGTGTTAGTTTTGGGACAATCTCATACATTCGTTAGTCAAACTGTTAAGTCTGCCGTTAACTAATGACGTTGCGCCTATGTGAACAATGACTGGGTGCCACGTGTCATTAAGGGCGTGGACTTTTTTTTTTTTTTGGAGAAGGGGTTCAAAAAAAAAAAAAAAAAAAAATAAAATAACCCCTGTCTTCTACCTCCCCCAACCCCCCCCCTCGCGCACATTTTCCCTCCCTCATCCCCCCGCACCCTCTGCAACCCCCACCCATCCTCCCTCATTTCTCTCTTCTACAACCCTCATCTCTTTTGATCCATAACCTGCCTCAACTCCCCCAAATTGTAAAACACCTGCAGCCTAGTCCCCACCTCAGCCTAGTTCAAACCCTTCATCCCTCTCTCCTCCGTACGCAACTTGTCTCCGGTCTATTTGACCCACTCGAGTTCGGAATCCACCATATCAATAGCGGCGAGGTCGTATTCATTGTAGAGAGCTAAGATCTCGTAATGGAGCTGAGTGGCCTTGGTGAGATTCGAGGCACTCAGGGTCGTCAGAGGCGATGGGTCCAAGCTTACTGAAGAGACGGAGGGCTCTGATGGAGTGGTGGAGAAGATCGGATGAGGCATGGAGATTTTGGAGCTGATAGAGTGGTGGAGAAGATACGGGCTTTAGCTGGATCCGACATCAAGGTCACTGTCGACCTCCCCAACAGGTTCCTCTCCTCCACCGCCAAGTCTCAGTCTTTCGCTACCAACTAGGTCCAGCGAAACGTCGTCACTTACCACCCCAACACCTAGATCGAAGCTATCGGCGTCGGCAATGAGGTTTTCATTGACACCCACGACACCACCAAGTTCCTCATCCGTCAAGTATTATTCAGCGGGGAGACCCCCTTGAGGCCCAAAGCAAATCTGGTGCGGTTTGCAGAGAGAATAGAGGGAAAAGGGAGGAAGGATGAGAGAATGGAGGGTGGTGCAGGTTATAAAAGAGAGAAGGGAGGGAAAGGGTGCAGGTTGTAGAAGAGAGAATGGAGGGAGAGGGTGTTGGGGGTTAGGTTTTTTTTTTTTTTTTTGAATTTTTTTTTTTGAACCCCTTCTCCAACAAAAAAAAATCCACGTGGACCCCTTAATGGCATGTGGCGCCCAATCATTGTCTATATAGGCGTCACGTCATCAGTTAACGGCAAACTTAACAATTTGACTAACGGATGTATGAAACTGTCCCAAAATTAACACTTTACGTATGACTCTGGGACGAAAAAAACTTGATATACTAAATGTTGAAATCCATGAAACATGAGGGTAGTAAACTGAGATTTACCCTTTTATTTTTAATGTGTTTCATGATTTTTAATCTCAATCTTTGCCTATAATATCCTATAAAAATAAATAAATAAATAAATAAAACTTAAATTTTAAAATTTATATTGAATAATAATTAATAAACAATATGTACATATTCATTATATCTATGGTATTTTATAGTAAGTTTTTTTTTAGTAGTTTAAAAAATTTAAATCATCGAAATAACTTTTTTCTTATTGTGTCGAAACAAGTTACTTGCGTGTCACTTTCGGGTAAACCTATTAAGGACCCGTTATTATCGTGTGACCCGATTAGTTATCGTGTTGATCCGAAACTCGTTATTTTCGTGTCATGTTAACGGGTCGTGTAAGAAATTGTCAAGTCTAATTATGAGAGCTTGTCTGGTCTAATAATGCTATAGATGAATGAAAAATAGGCAACTATGCTGACTACAAGGTTATAAATTTTACTAATTGATCAGACATACAAGATTGGATATTGTTGGTATTTCCTCGATATTGTTGGGCTTCGGAGTTAAAAAAGGGAGAAGTTTGAATTCCTTGCGAGAAAAAGAGAATAGGGTTCTTTTTGGTCGAAGGAGAATAGGGTTTGACTATATATATTTTTTTCCATTGAAAACTAGAGCAAAACTCGTACGCAATGTCGAATGTCATCTTCAGTAACAAAAGAAGGTTGTCGCCAGAAGTCCACCTACTCTTCTCATTTGAGGATTTCCCGGAAGCCCTTCCAAAAACGGGCATTAATTTAGGAATAATATTTGGCTATTCAAAGATGAGTAGGAACTCTTACTTAAAAATTTTCTAAATTGTTCGTTGTCAACTTATAAAAGTTCGTGTTTATAATCAGAACCGTTCATATTATAAATCACCCTATAAAGATCGCCTCTGCAAAAAATCAATTAAAACTAATGTCGTTTAATCATCAAACTGTTTAAAAACAAATGAACGGTATCAGTAAAAGCATTACGAACCGTCTATATATTTACTACAATAGATTGACTAAACAACCTTAGTTTTTAATTTATTTTTTGCAGAGATAATCTTTACAGTGTGATTCATAGTATGAACGGTTATGATCATAAGTACAAAGCTCTGTGATTAAAACACTAAAAGTTTTGAGTAGGAGTTCCTACTCATCTTTGAGTAGCTAAGTTTTGTTCTTAATTTAGGGGTGATACTTGCATCGATATTATGGGCTGCACCACTTTATCTATGTCTTGCCGTAAACGTATTATCGTATAAGTTTGATAATCAAAATCCTTTGTTTCCTTGTTCATCATTTAAAGGTCATCTCTAGAAATGTCCATTCGAATAAGAGATCATGAAGTCATATATATCAAATAGAGATTTTACTGATATTTTATAGAGATCATCTTTAATGAAGATTAAGAAAATAAACATTTCTAATTATAAAATTTGTAATGTGAAAATAAGTTAGTCACAAGGGTGGACAAGGTGCACACCCATAGGAAGATGTAAGTATTTTCCTTAATTTGGCCGGAATGATCATTTAACACAAATAATATGTGGTTGGATTTCGTCCGGGAATGGGAATAGAAATACCACCCCTACATCTGCATTTCAGGTCTTAACCAAATACTACATCTTAAAGGAGTGGTACGTGGCCTTGCTGTCCTAGTTGGATAACAACTACAATAACAAACTAATAAGAAAGTTTTATCTTACTAAGTGTGATCGGTTGTTTGAAATTGTAGAACATTATTTCGCTCAGTTTTGCACCAAGTTTTTCGTTAGCTCCAAGTACTCTGTCTTTTCTTAAAGTTTTTTTCTAAGTCTTACCGGCTTTTCCTTTATCTCTTTTTCCCTGAGCGTCTTTTTCATAATCACATTGTCTAACCAGATCATTTATAAATTTTTGTTTCACATGTCTAAACCACTTTAATCGATTTTCATAGCCTCCCTCCTAAATTGATGTGGCCTTCTTCATAAATTAATACTTTTTGATAGATTTTCTTCTCACAAAGTGAAATCTTAATAGGAAGTGCCAAGAAACTTTTTATCATAATCGATTGAGTCATGTTATATTAATTTAGAACTCATTTAGATGTGTTTTTAAAATGACTGAAATCGTTTTTGGTGAAAATATTTTTTGAACCAATCTTTAGTAAAAACGCAAGTAAATTCTAAAAAAAAAGACTTAAAGTGCTTCCTAGAAAAAGCACATAACTAGTGATTCTTGCAAAAAGCACTTTAAGTGCTTTTGAAACTAAAAAATATTTTCTCTAAAAACGCTTTCAGTTATTTAAAAAAAAAAGTATATAAAGTGCTTCCTAAAAAAAGTACATAACTAGTGATTCTTACAAAAAGCACTTTAAGTACTTTTGGAACCAAAAAATATTTTCTCTAAAAACGCAGTTATTTTAAAAGTACATCCAAATAACTTCTTAATTTGACTTGGTTCTGCTTAATATGCAAATAGAAAGCCCAAAAAAAAAAAAATTGGAAAGACATGAAAAATTGGCCCATAAAAAAAGGCCAGAGAAAAATAAACAACTGTTACATTTTGGGCCAAATTAAATTTGGGCATCGGTAGGCCCTTTCCAACGCACCGCTTGAGAGGCTGAGAGGGAGTCGCACGCTAATCTCCTTCTTCGTGTGTAAAACCTCAAATGGCCGTTTAAGCTCTCCCAATTAATTTTCCGTGACATTTTTGCAGAAAGATAAATTCGATGGCGGGTTCGGTTATGCTGCAAAGCCTGTGCTGCATAACCGTACAATCCCCAAATTGTTACAAGAATCAATCCCTAGCTTTCACCCACTCTCAGTTCTTCTCCTCCAATTCATCTTTAAGGCTAAAGAAGCAGTCTTTGCTCTCAGCTATTCGGATTAAGAGGCAGAGGACTCAGAATCATCGCTTTGTTGTTCCTATTGCATTTGCTTCACAGTCCAACTTCTTCAACGGTTAGCTGCACTTCACTGCTTTTGTTCTTCTAATTTGTAGTATTGAATGGCATCCTGAACATTTTTATTTGGTGGGTTTGTCTAATTTTTTATGTTTCTGGATTGGGTTTTTTCTGTTTTTGGTTTTTGGTTTCTGGGTTCTGATAAATGATGTTATTGCAGCTGAATAGTAATGGTGAGTAGGAAGTAATGCGCATATGTATGCAGAAAGCATGTTCGTTTTCTGTTAGATAATGGAATTTCGTAGTCTCTAGATTTAGATTTGTGTATTAATTCCAGTGATTTTTGGTTAGGAGAGTGAAAGTGTACCTGACTGGCCTGAAAAACAATTGCGATGATTTCTGTCGTGCATGAAACATTGAGGTTATTGTAGAGGCAGTGAAGTTGTGACTAGAATGATAATTTTTGTGAATACTTGAATGTTCTTGCAGGAAGATTAAAGAATATAGACTTCAGTTGAGGGAACTGGTTAATCATGCATAACCCATGAAGGCCTAATACTTGGTGGGTGAAACACTGACTGATTACTGATTTGCAATGTGCAGTAAGTGTGATTTTCTTAGGGAAATTTTGGTTACATGACCTTTGTTCTTTTACGGTTCTAGGTTCATAAGAATAGATCCCCTTATTGTTATTTTTCCGTTTTCGTCAACGGGAAACTCTTATAGAGGATCCACTTCTAATTCCATGAAAAGTAGTCCAAGAAGGCATTTCTATGACGACCTTTAAATGCAGGCTAATTTTGAGTCGGGATTTTTAATTGTTAGGATAAGATATTAGGTTTGTGGTTGAGTTTTTGAGTTACATTATCACTTCAAGGACGTTATTTTGTTCTTTAAAACTTAAATTCACATCAAATTAACAATGTTGCTACCCCTCTGCGTCACATGATTTACTTTTGTTGTTGTCCTGCTCATACAAGAGAGCAAGTAGTTACTACCAGTTTTATGTTTACATTTGTGTTAACTACTGGTTAAATTATGTAAATAGCTCTGCAAACGGCATGGAAGGTTGGGCGAGATGGAGTTGAGGCAGGAACCAATCTCGTGCCGGTAATTCTGCGGAGTCTTAACCTTTCGAAGTTTTATTTGCATTTCAGTGCACAGTGTTTTTCTTGTTTTCAGTACAAATTGAAGATCGTTGATATTCTGTTTTCATTTTGCTTTTGGGGTGCTAGAATTCAGTACCGAGACCAGTTGCAAGGGTTTCCGTGACTATGGTGGCGTTGACTCTTTCACTATTTGTGCTCAAATCTTTCCTGTCTACAGCTTTCTTTGTGCTGGTATGTTGTCTATTTCTTTCCTCCAGCAAGAACAGTAGATTGCTTATTTTGCTACCTTAGAGCATCTCCAAAGGAGATGTCAAAAGGTCCACATCATAAATAACAGTAACAAAAAACAGCATTATAATCCTACATGGCATGACATGGAAAGGCAGCAGGAGGGGTTGCTGTCAAATTTGACAGCAGCTTCAAATAATTTTTAATTAACTACTAAATCTTTTTTATTAAATTTTTTGCCCTCTCTTGCTCTACCCATCTTCCTGTTGAAAAGCTCACGAACTGCAATCACAAAGAAAATCTTTGATTTTCCATCTATCACACACTATGTGGACGAATATCGACTAAAAATCATCGCTTTCGAAAACCCCCAAATTGAAAAACCCTAGTCTCCACCAAATGTGAATCTAGCACCTCCACAATGCACCAATGCCCAATCCAACTCACAGAAGATGACTTACGCCAGAGACGAAGCGGGTGGAAGCAACAACGGCGATGGTGCAGGCGGATTTCATAGAGTGCAAGCAGAGCGTGACCTAGAATCCAATTGGGAACTCAATCTCGCGCAAAAACTCGAAGAGTATCTAGGTGGAAGCAACGTTAGCAATGGAGGTGGATTTCATAGAGTGCAACCAGAGTGTGACCTAGAATCCAATTGGGAAGTCAATCTCGCACAAAAACTTGAAGAGTTTTTGCTCAAGATTTGCTCTGGTGACATGCCCACTGAAGCAGGAGGCCATGTCATTGTTATTTTTGCAGAAGGTGTTCCTTTTGCTTCAAACTACTATTTTTCTATTAATTTAATGTTTTTTTAAAATATAAAACAAATCTTCACCAATATATATAACAAAAATAAAGAAAACAAAATAATGTAATAAAATAATAATTTAATTTGACATGTCGGGTGGAGAAAAAAAAATTTAAATGTCAAAGTGCCACATAAACTATAAAATTTAAATTTTTTTTGTTTAAAATTTGACATCTTCTTTCGAGATGGTCTTACTGTAAAGAAGGCCTTTTTTGGGCATGCCCCCTAGAACTCCAATTTAGTCTCACTTTCCCTTCTGAAACAAAAAAATCATCACTTTACACCCGGGAACTCAATATTCGCTCCACTTTGGTTGAAATCTGTCCTTTTCGTTAAATATGTTAATGTGGAAGGGCAATTTAGTAATTTTCTCGTAGGTGGTATTAGAGTTCCATTTTCTATGGTGACATGACAATAAAAAAAAAAAGAAAAAAAAAAAGAAAACCCATCTCCTCCCCGTGCCCTCCCCACTCCCTCTTCCCTTTATTTATAATAATTACTTTCTGTTACTCTCTCTCTTCGATGGACAACGGCTGACGAGGGAGGGGTTAATACTGGTGTGGGTATGGGCCGTATGGCTTATGATGAGGGAGGTCGGGGAAGAGTGAGAGAGAGATGTGTTAGTTGTGATTTGTGTATTCAGTTCTTTGAGTGAAGCCTCATGGGTTGGTAGTATTCAAGGACATAGTCGGGATGAAAAGGTAGATAATTGGAAATTTGGAACCCACCTGATTTGAAACAATTGCTCTTCCACGTAAGCACTTTTTCATTGAGAATGGGATGCTTGGATTCACCATATTGGGACCAGTTTTTCTTCCACGTAAGCAGATTTCGTCTCTTTTTAACGGAATACACGGAATCTAACCAAAGTAGAGCGAAAATTGAGTTTCAAGGTGCAAAGTGGCGATATTTTTGTTTGAGGGGGGAAGTGGGATAATGTTCGAGTTCCAAGGGGCATAAGAAAAAATAAGCCTTCAAAGAAATGAGATGCTATGTAGACAATATATTCGTCGTCAACAAGAGAACATTATTCTTGTATGGATAGTCTTCGTTTTTTAAGTACATGTATCATATAACTGTATTGAAGTAAGCATTCAATGATAACAGGCTACGATGGGACTTGTATACTTTATATTCATTGCTTTGAATAATGATGGAGGGCCGAGGAGTGGAGGCACCACCTCGACACCAAAGGAGGACGGGATGGACGACAGTCTAGAAGAAGCCAGAAGAATCATGGAGAAGTACAAGTAACAGCCACATCACATGGGTGGAACAAGGGATTTGGTTTAAGCTTTTAGGAAAGGCCTAGCACAGCAAACCTGACTGTGAGGCGTCGCCCCTCTTCGAGAAGTGGTGCGGAAGTTAAATACTTGTATTCTTTGCGGAGCTCATGGAGATCTTATTAAACACAAAAGAATGGTCTTTCCCACAGAAGTTAGCATTGATGGATGGTAGGAAACTGTGACGGTGTGTAGTTAGTGGCGGCACAAAATCTGCTTGCTTGTTTTTCACAACTTTTAAAAAGATGTTACAATAACATCAGACGACGACGTATAACATTCCTCTTTGCATTACAGATTTTGTGTTCGATTCTTCATTCTCCAGTTTGTATCATGTATTTATAATTCAACCACCATCAAATTGTACACCGCCACCAGCTTCTGCTCCTCCGCTATCTGAGTCTGCATCGGAGTCTCTATCTGATTTTGAGTCTCTGGGCACTGACTCGCATACACATTGGTTATCTTGTGATGTTAATTAAGAGCTTTATTGCTATTATTATAGTTAATTCGTATATGAATTTGGACATTAATCCTACTCTTCCATGCTAATGACGCACCGCAAGCCTTCCCCCTTCAACATTAGGTCAAAAGCTCTGTTGATCTCCGAGAAAGGAAGTCGATGCGTTATAAACTTCTCTACTTCCAGTTTCTGTATCGAAAGTGATCAAGAAAACATTCGTTAAAATCCACAATCGAAGAACCGATCACTCGAGAAAGTATTGGATAAACTTAGGTTACCTTGTTCATGTACATGTCCACGAGAGAGGGAAGGTCGCTCCGAGGCTTGTAGTTGCCGAAAAATGTTCCTTTGAGGGTTCTTTCATCAAGTACTTTCATGGGGTTTGTCTTGAAGATTGCATCTTTGGTTGGCACTCCTACAAGCACCGCTACACCCCACCCCTGTTTCATTACCAATCCAAACATATATGTTTCTTGAGTTGCAAGTTATCAACCCTTAAATTGTAACTTCTGTTAATATAAAAATTAAGCATACATCATGAACACATTCGAAAGCGGAGATCATCGAATTAATGTTCCCGGTGCACTCTAAGCTTCTGTCAACTCCACCATCCGTCATCTCAGCGATAACCTGTCGATTGTAAAGATAAGATATAGGATTAAGTATAGTTGAACTATCTGTGAGGGGGTTTAAGTGTAAATTAAGAACGAGTCTTCACCTCCTGCACTGGCTTGTTATGGTCTTTCGGGTTCACAAACTCGTTTACTCCGAAGTTCTTGGCTAAACCAGGTAAACCAAAGTTTTCAGCAAGAATTGGTTTCTTATGTTTTGCCAATAGTTTTTAAACCATGGTAATTTAACGATGACAATGTGTAAAATTTCAACTATACCTTGCTCAAATCTATGGGGATTCAAGTCTACCCCAATAATCCTTGATGCCCCAGAAATCCTTGCACCTTCTGCAGCCTGAAAGAGAAACACTTACAATTCTAACCACCAAATGGGAAACAACGCTAAGTATTTGATCGAACTCTCGTTTCCTCCCCCTGCGGTCCTTTTTTTATGTCCTTAGGACTGAATAAATCAAGAGAGAACCAAGGATCGATAAAATTAAAGGGGTGTGTAATGGGAGAAAACGGGAATGTAAAAATCATTTTGTTCCCAAAACTTACAGCGAGGCCAACAGCTCCAAGTCCAAAGATAGCAACTGAAGAACCCTTCTTTGGTTTTGCTACTTTCAGAGTGGCACCTAAGCCAGTCGACACACCACAACTGAGGATGCAGACTTTATCCAATGGTGCCTTTGGGTCGATCTTGGCAAGGCAGCCTTCGTGGATAACTGTGTACTCGCTAAACGTGGATGTGCCGAGAAAGTGATTAATCGGAGTCCCATTCTGCGAAAACCTTGCTTTCCCGTCACCAATCATGACTCCTCTATCGCAATTGATTCTCAGCAGCTCACACATGTTGCTTTCCTCAGACTTGCAATGTGGACAATCCCCACATTCCCCAGTGAAAACTGGAAGCACATGATCCCCCGGCTTGAGGTTCTTAACGCCTTCACCAACACTCTCAACGACGCTGTCACGAAAAATAAGCATTTGCATTCATAATTTGGACAAAAACATGGGGAAACATAAGAGAGAAAAAGAATCAAGACTGGAAGGCAATTAGACATAAATACCAACTTAACTTTTGGTAAGATTCACTTAAAAGCAACAACCTACCCAGCTGCTTCGTGTCCGAAAATCCTAGGGAACAATGGTGTCTGGCCCTGAATTCCCGGAAGCAAAACAAATAACAGAAGATTAATAAGTTATAAAAAGTAAAATGAAAAGTTTGAGAGAAATATGCGTAAATAGGACCGTTTTAGTATCCTTCCAGTCCAAATTTTTACTGAAAGTTTGTAACCGGATTCTGTTTGCGTATATTTCTCGGTTAATTCATAAAATCATGTATAAATGGTCATATGGATTATGTATTTGCTGACCTTAGCTTCCCAGAAGTAGATATCAGTGTGACAAAGAGAGGTGTATTTGATTTGGACCCTAACTTCATTGGCTTGCGGTGGAGCAACATCCACCTTCTCTATCACCAAGGGCTTCCCTGCTTCCCAAGCAACAGCCGCTGCAAAAACCACAACAGAAAATCCCATCTTTTAGATGATCACAAATTCGATCAAATCCATACATACGTTCTTCGAAAGTAAGAAACTTTGCGCTGAACCTTTGCTGGTGATCGCACGGCCAGCATGAGCCGAAGTGCTGTAAAGTTCCGGTCTGAGGAACCTAGATTTTTGGTTATTTAGGAGCTTCAAGAAATGGTCATTGTGCACCAATGTTCTAAAACTCTTATGCATTTTGTGCATGGTGTGTAATTCACAGTGTTCTACTTAGAAAGAAAAAAGAAAGATGAAAATGCCAATTGGCAAACACAGATGGTGAAATATAATATCAAAGGTCAAGAGCAATTCTTTGCCTATTTTTGGGAGGATGTTGAGAAAAAATGGCCTCCAATAACTACTCCACGGGACTCTCTGTTAACTTATTCTTAGGAGAGAGAAGATGAGTCTCTCTCTCTCTCTCTAGAACACTTTGATGAATTAAGGCATCTTGAAAGTGAATCGTATTCCATTTGGACTCGAAGGTTAAGTGTTATATGAAAAAGGTGGAGTGCTGGCAATGTATAGAATATATGAAAAAGGTGGGGTGTTGGTGAAGTATGCAATATATGAAAAAAGTGGGGTGTTGGTGATGTATGTCATATAGGCCGAGTCCGACATTCGATTGCTTTGATTTGAATTAACCGGAGGATACCTTATATATATTATTACATTAAAAAAATAGACAATCAAACCGTTTAAAAAAACTTATAATGAATCTATGTACGTTTTTTTCTCTCATCTCCTCCTAATATGATAAGTCAAAAGACGACAGAGATAGATAGAAAGCGGTATACACCATTTGCATCATGAGTGAAGGGTTCCCTTTGCAGTTATTTCATGTTATCATTTTTCTTTCGAAATTTGTGTTGTTGCTATATTAAACCAAACTTATCTAGCGGAAATTCCAATAAAAAGAGAATTGTATTCAATTCCTTCCAACTACTGTTGTATAACCCAAGTCCAATATGAATTAGTATTGCATCAACATGCTTTAAAATACCAATGTCAAAGTGTCACAGAGTTTTAGATTACACAATTTCACAGTTACTGTCACAGAACATTACATATTCAATTCAACTGTCTTAGGATTAGGGCTATAAATTGGCTCGAAACAGTTCGAGCTCGCACTGTGTTCTGCTTGTCGAAGCTCGGCTCATGAATGAGCCAAGCCAAGCCTAGTTCAGCTCGATTAATAAACAAACCAAACTTGAGCATTGGTGGTATGTTTGGCTCGTAAACCTCATGAGCAGCTCAAAAAAAATTTACGACATAACTCGAAGTAGACTTGAATTCGGCTCGGTCGAATATATATATTCTCAATTCTAATTCAATTTGTTATAAGAATAATAATAGTTATTTTTTTCGTATTTCTTGTATAATACTTGGAAGAAAACGGGGATACGAAAATCACTTTGTTTCCAAAACTTACAGCTGAGGCCAACAGCCCCAAGTCCAAAGACAGCCTACCCAGGCGGCCATGTTTTCAGAGTGTGCTAAAGTTCTGGACCTTGTATGCATGCTTTCCTTGTATGAGCACCGAGCACGTAGGGCTTATTGAGAAAAAATAGCATCCGGTCACCTCTCCAAAGGACTCTCTATTTTGATCCCAGACCCTCCGGTTCTCTGGAATGTCGAACGAGCACCGTCACCAGAGGTCCGTTAGTGAACGCTCGCTATAGTGGCTTTGTTTTATCACAGATCTGTCATCCGTGATGGTTTACACGGGTGACCGTATAGGCGGATATAAGAATTTCCACCGACTTCAGGTCCTGTTTGTCAAATGGCCTGTGATGATCAAATCAGGTTGTCGTTGGCTGCGGACCGCAGTAATACATATTTGTTTTCTTATATATGTGATAAGGGTACTTCATTTTCGAAAGGTAAGGATGAATTTATCATTGCAGGAAATGTTGAGACTGTATACGTGAGTTACTCTCTTACGAAAAAAACGAGTCGATAAGTACTTATTTGAACCCAACTTGACATAACATTCGTAGATTAAACATAGAAGATCGCTTAAGCAGTGTAACACTGCATACTTTGGGCAACACTAAAGTTGTTCCATCGAAGTTGGAAACTTGATGAAGTTTATTTATGAACTGATAGCTACTCTTCCATGCTAACGATGCACCGCAAGCCTTCTCCCTTTGTCATGTAATCAAAGGCTTTATTGATTTCTGAGAAAGGCACCCGATGCGTTATAAACTTCTCTACTTCCAATTTCTGTTCAGAAAAGTAAAAAGGAAAGGCTTCATTCATTAGAATCTGCAATAAAGGAATTGAATGCTTGATAGAGTGGATGAAATCTTAGACAAAAACTATGTTACCTTGTTCATGTACATTTCGACAACCGAAGGAAGGTCTGTCCGAGGTTTGTAGTTCCCGAAAAAAGTTCCCTTAAGCGTCCTTTCATTAAGCACATTAATGGGCTTAGTCATGAAGACTGCATCCTTGTTCGGTACTCCAACAAGCACAGCCACACCCCAACCCTGCAATACCAATTGAAAGGATGTAAGCTGATAACTGTAGCCGCAGGTCAGGGTAGAATGTAGATAGGCAAGCATTAAAAGATGAACTAGCACACACATATTCTACATTGAACGGGAGACTGGTGACTCTGTGAACATGATGAATAAATTACCGATTCAACCTAACTGAAGCAATCAAAATGTAACTGCTGTAACCAGAAAACATACATCATGAACACATTCAAAAGCCGAGATCATGGCATTAATATTGCCGGTGCACTCTATGCTCCTGTCAGCTCCACCATTTGTCATCTCAGCAATAACCTGTTGATTTTGTAGATCAAATTACTAAATTAGAAGGTTGTACACAACTTAACGATCTATGTTGATATATGGAGCAACATCTACTAAGAATAACAAATGAGTTTTCACCTCCTGGACTGGTTTGTCATGGTCCTTTGGATTCACAAACTCATTCACTCCAAATTTCCTGGCTAAAACCAGGGAAAGAAAGTTTTAAGCAAGAATCTGTTTCTCTGTTTTTCCAGTAAACTACCTGTTAAACCATGGCAAATGGCAGTGGACAAAAATTATAAATACCTTCCTCAAACCTCTTGGGATTCCTGTCAACCCCAATAATCCGTGATGCCCCAGAAATTCTTGCACCTTCAGCAGCCTAGACAAAGCCTATATCAGTATAAATACGGAAAAAGAAAAAATGCAATATATTAAAGTATTTGGATCAACAGAGTTTGTCCGAGACATACAGCCAGCCCAACAGCCCCAAGTCCAAAGATAGCAACTGAAGATCCCTTTTTCGGTTTTGCTACATTCAGAGTGGCACCCAAACCTGATGTTGGAAAAGAAAATATTCAGCATATCATCAGCTTTGGATGCATAAATCAAGACCGTAATGTTTTGAGTAGAACACCAAACCTGTCGAGATGCCACAGCTGAGGATGCAAACTATATCCAAAGGAGCCAGGGGATTGATCTTGGCAAGGCAGCCGGAATGAATAACAGTGTATTCACTGAAGGTGGATGTGCCGAGGAAGTGATTAATCGGAGTCCCATTTATAGAAAACCTCGTTTTCCCATCACTTAGCATGACCCCTCTGTCTGTATTTATTCTTAACAGGTCACACATGTTGCTTTCCTCAGACTTGCAATGCGCACAGTCCCCACACTCCCCGGTGAAAACAGGTAGCACATGATCACCAACCTCGAGGCCTTCAACGCTTTCCCCAACACTCTCAACGATTCTGTCAAAACAATAAGCATTCGTAGGTCATAACCTGGACTAAAACCAGAATTGCAATTAGACACCTCTCAAACTGGTATGGGACTCAATATTTGGTGAAAGTTAGAAGTTAAAACATAAGGTTGACTTAATAAACAACGTACCCAGATGCTTCATGGCCGAAAATTCGAGGGAACAAAGGTGTCTGGCCCTGAATCCCAGAAGAAAAATATAATCCAAATAAGTAAATGTAACAATAAACATATAAACCGGACGATAAGCCACATTCCATAGGAGAACAATTACACGCCAATTGTTCAGTTTCGAGTACGACTGCATTTCGTGGTTAAAATTCACACATGTTCCACAAATTTGTTGTCGAAGTTCATATATGCTAAAGAACTAATGATCCTCTAGCTTTTCTAGCACGAACGGCATTTGCAATTAACTTAAAGAAAGAGATGGCAAAATTGGCCGGAAAACTCTACTCGTAGTTTACAAATCTACAAATTTCAAATCGTAATCATATAAAATCATATATGCGTGTGTGTGTGTGTGTAGTGTGTATTGCTACTGACCTTGGCTTCCCAGAAGTAGAGATCAGTGTGGCAAAGTGAAGTATATTTGATCTTGATCCTAACTTCCATGGCCTGAGGTGGAGCAACCTCCACCCTCTCCATCACCAACGGCTTCCCTGCCTCCCATGCAACCGCCGCTGCAAAATCCACAACACAAAACTCCCATCATTTACCAGAATCATATAATTCCGATATAACTAAGAAACCCATTTAAAAAAAGATTCAAATTTGCACTGGTACCTGTACAGGGGATCACAAGGCCGGCTGTAGACGACATGTAGTAAAGATTTGGGGTTAAAGAAGTGAGATTCAGTTGATTTGTTAGAACTCAGAGGATGGTTTTAGCAATGGGATTATCCACTTCCACTATAAATACGAAGTAAAGTTGTAAGCTTTGTTTTGGTTTCAAGTGGACGTGTAATGCGTCCACGGTACAAGTGACTGTTGAACTCAAAAACCAGAGGAGAAATACCACTTGGCAACCACAGATATTTTTTACCGGTCAAATGGCAACCATAGATCTGGACTAGTAGTAAATATCATGAATAATGTTAGAGAGACTAGTTTAAAGTAATAATTTAATCATTAATAATTACGTTAGATGATTTATAAAATATCATTTAAATATATGATCTTTCTAGTATTATTCTACTGATGAGTGATGAAATTTGTTTAATACTAGCAATAGTGAGAAGTGAAATTAATTCTTCATTTTTAGATTTTATTAATTGGGGACGGTAAGTGCATACGCAAAGTCCCTTCGTCCTCACGGCACGTAAGGGTTTCGAGTCTAGGGTTTGTGGGCGGCAGCTACTACAAATCGGTGTGTGGCAGCGGTCCGTTCTCTTTTCAGTGACACGATGGATCTGTTTCTTCGGCTCTTCAACTCAAGATTGCAGTTGTCGGAGTCTAAGAATCTGGAGGTGGTGATCAGCAACACGACGACGGAGAGGCTTAGGGTTTCAAAATTCTTCTTGGTTGGTAAGGTTCTCTCCCATAAGTATTTGAGGCCAAATATTGTTATGGGGGTAATTAAGGATTTATGGCGTCCTAAGGTAAGTGTGGAGACCACGGTGATCGGTGATAATTGCATCCTCATTAGCTTTAATTTTGAGGAGGAAGTTTGAGTTGTTCTAAAGGATAGTCTGTGGTTCTTTAGTAAATCCTTGTTGTTATTGGCGGAAGTTAATAAGTTCTAGGTTTCGGTTGACGTTCCACTGCGGGAGCAATGTTTTTAGGTCCGTATTCATGAGGGAGGTTATTAGAGCAATCTTGGGTCGGTGCATGAAGGTCGATTGCAATAATGATTTCTGTTTTGGCAAATACATGCACATTAGGGTTGCCATTGATGTGTTTAAACCTCTCCGATGGGGTGTGCAATTGAGGTTGCCTTCATCGGAGGGCGGGGAGCTTATTAGAGTTCTGGTGCAATACGAGCGTCTCCCGACGTACCGTTTCCTATGTGGGTTGCTTGATCATAAGTGTAATCAATGCCATCTCTTTAAAGGTGGAGTGTGGATGATACATGTGTACCATATGGCAAGTAGATGCAAGTAGGTAATCCCACGTTGGGATCGGTGCTTGGAAAGCCTGGGTCTTGAGCAATGATGGAGAATGGAGGATGGAGGCACCGAGGTTTTCCCCAGGGTTGGGCCACGATGTTGACACTGAAGTGGTTGAGGGGGCTGGGGTTCATTCAGAACAGGCGGTGGTTGATGGGGAGGCGAATATGGGGGTGGGTTCGAATGTCTCAAAATGAGGTGGTGTAGGTGGGCCTGACAATTCCTGATACAACCTGGTAACCCGACACGAAATTAATAGGTGTTCGGGTCTACACGATAAGGAATCAGGTCGTTATTGAGTAACCTGATAAGCACCTAAGATAACAGGTTGGTTCGGGTATACACGTGAGTAACACGATACACAATAAGCAAAATATTAATTTTATAATTTTATAACCTTAAAAAAAATACTATAATAATTATATATATTAATTTAACAATTTTATACCCCTAAAAACTATAATAATTATATATATAATTAAATTTAAAAAATTGGTGACCATTGGATTGGCTGAGATTTAATCTCAACCGTCCATTGTGCATTAGGTTGGAGGCTAATGTATTTTTATATGGTATAGTACTAGTGTTTTATTTCTTTTCATAATTATTTTGGTAAACTTCTCATAATTTGAATGGTTTTTAATGTTTGGTTTTTCCATACTTAGTTTATGCGGAAGAGAGTTCTGACGTGGAAACCTTACTGAAAACATCATCAACATAACTCTTGAAGGCAATAAATCAAGCCAAAGTTCCAATACAATTTTCTCATGATGATCGATGAAAATTGAGGATTTTGTAAAAGGAATAACATGCAAGCTTTGAGTTCCATTGACAAGGTTTAAACTTTTGAGAAATGCTTCACAACCTTGAAAACAAAAACTCTTTCATTTTGCATATCTTTGCACATTTAATATTTTGTAATAGACTAATAGTGTATGGATGTTTTTTTTATTAGGCTCTTATTTTCGAGTGTAGATGTACTGCTTAAACGACAAATGTGTTTTAATGTTTTGAAGTAATATTTATGTGGCAATATGTGGTATGTGCAAATTTAAGAAAAAATATATATTTTTCTTAACGGGTCATAATGGGTCGGGTCACTTTACATGTTGGGTAAAGTGACCCAACCTGTTAAGGACCCATTACAATATAGGCTATTACTGGCGAAGCAAAAACCGACAAGAAACCCAATTTCTGTCGGAAATTTGGCAAAAATCCGACATAAAACAATGTAATGTCGGATTAGAATAGCGACACTAATGTTAGCGTCACGAAAGGCCTTCAATGTCGGTTTGTTCGCTTAATCCGCCACTACGCAGTGTCGATTAAAAGTGACACTGACATTAACGTCGGTTTAAAGCGATCTATACTTGAACATTACGTCGGTTTAAAGCGCGTTCATTAGCAATTTAATTATAATATATCCACCCTACTCCACCCTACTGTCGGTTTTAACCGACATTGTGATAAAATTAAATAAATAAAATATACCTAAACCAATGTCAGATAATAATTAAATAAATAAAATATTCATCGGAACTCACTCGCTTTTTGGGAGCTCACTCGCTTCGGAGCATTGGAACTCCAAAGTTAAGCGAGTTCGCGCGAAAGCAATCCTAGGATAGGTGATCCACTGAGAAATTCTTGTGTGAGTTCCAGAAACAAAACCGTGAGGGTGTGGTATGGGCCCAAAGCGGACAATATCGTGTTACGGTAGAGTTGAGTCCAAGATGTGGTGGGGGCCCATGTGACAATTTGATATCAGAGTCAATCCGTGGCCGGAAGTGTGCCAACGAGGACGTTGAGCCCCTAAGAGATGGATTGTAACATCCCACATCGCCCATGGGAGTGGATCCTGTAAGGCTTATATGTATATTTTCATCTCTGCCTAGCACGAGACCTTTTGGGAGCTCACTGTTTCGGAGTTCATCGAAACTCCAAAGTTAAGTGAGTTCGCGCGAGAGCAATCCCAGGATGGGTGACCCACTGGGAAGTTCTCGTGTGAGTTCCCAGAAACAAAACTGTGAAGGTGTGGTAGGGGTCCAAAGCGGATAATATCGTGCTACGGTGAAGTCGGGCCGGGATGTGACAGATTTTAAAGGATTTTAATGGACTTTATAATTGGAAGATTTGTATGGATTTATATTATAGATTCTTATGGATTTGTATGAACTTTTTTCATGGATTTCTTAGGATTTTTATTTGACTTCTACAACATAAAATAAATTTATTTCTCAGTACACAATCTAAAACATATATGATATCAAAATACAAATCAATACAATATATTTTTACTTTTCTCATTTGAATTATAGTTTTTTTATGAAATTTTTAACAAACCAAAACATAAATCATTGATGGTTTCAGATGACATCTAGATCAAGCTAATTCCAACTAATCGAACCCAACCCAAGCATACAAAATTAATAAATCTTTGCTCCAGTAGCTAACAACTCCAAGTACAAGACAAAAATACTATTGAATCCTAAAGCTCATCTCTTTGTTGTTGTAGCTTCCAAAACTGAAAAACTCGCAACCCAATTCACCATTTTTCACTTCAGCACCCAAGTTACTCAAAACCCCAACATCCCATACTCCAATCCCTACAACACCTCCATTTTCCCACAGTTTCCGACATTTTCTAGGCTACCAAACAGAGTTAAAACAAACAACTAAACAAATAGCGATAAAAATGGTAGAGAAGTATAATATACACATAGCAGAATAGGGAATGGATATTTTGTGGGGGCTGAATTTGTGGTGAGATTTTGGATTTGGTGGATATATTTTTAAGAAATAAAGGAACTTTGTATGTCGTCTTCTTATCTTGAGAGATGGTTTGTCTTCTTCTTTTTTTGAGAGATGGTTTGTCTTCTTCTCCAAAGAGAAGAAAAGAAATCCTAGAGGTGGATGTTAGATTGTTTAAGGTGTTTGGTATTTATATCACCCACTCTCAAATCCATCAAAATCCCTAATTCATTAAAATCCTAGCAAATTTTTTATATTTTCACTACACTTGGATTCTTGTCGACTTTTTAAAAGGGAATTTTAATGAAAAGTTTCCGCTACTATTCATCATAACGAAAAATCATATTGTTAAACTAAAAAGTCAATTATAATACTATTCATTTTACTCTTTATTTTGTCCTTATCGTTAAAATTCAAAGTTTTTAAGTCATTTTTATTAGTTTTCATTTTTTGAAATCCTAATCGACTACCTATGGATTTGGATGTATTCTTTAAAATCCTAATTTGACTACACCATAATTTCAAAATCTTTTAAAATTCTCTTTTAAAATCTAATTAACTACAACTAGATTTTAAAGTTCATTAAAATACTATCAAGTCCTATCAAATCCTAATATGACTGCCCCTTAAAAGATGGACTATCAAGTCCTGACAGATCCTAGTACTGTCTTATCCAAATCCCACAGAGCTGAGAACTCAAACTCTTTCTCCTTCACCAGACATTCCCAGCTCCGCCATGACCTCCACCGTCTGCAACCCCACAACTCCACCGTCCTCTCACCCATCTTTTCTCTTCCCACAAATCACATCATGCAAAACCATCAGAGACCTGCACCAAGTCCACGCCCACTTTATCAAAACCCGCCAAATCCACGACCCCCTCGCCGCCGCCGAAATCCTCCGCTTCTACGCCCTCTCGACCCACCGCAGTATCCAATGCGCCCGTTCTGTTTTCACCCAGATGGAGAAACCCAATTACTTTTCCTGGAACACAATCATCAGGGCTCTCGCAGAGAGCTCTGTTAACGACCACTCGCTCGATGCCCTCTTCTTCTTTTCTCAAATGGTTGCTGATGGTTCTGTGGAACCCAATAAGTTCACCTTCCCTTCAGTGCTGAAAGCCTGTGCAAAAATGGGGAATCTTGAGGTGGGTAAGTGTGTTCATGGCATGGCTGTGAAGTTTGGATTGGAAACTGATGGGTTTGTTGTGAGCAATCTGGTGAGGATGTATGTAATGTGTGAGGTTATGGAGGATGCAAATTTGTTGTTTTCTAGGAGTGTTGGGGATTTTGGTGTTTTGAATGGAAGGAAGCAAGAGGGCAATGTGGTTTTGTGGAATGTGATTGTTGATGGGTACGTTAGAGTTGGGGATTTTAGAGCTGCAAGGGAGCTGTTCGATAAAATGCCTCACAGAAGTGTGGTGTCCTGGAATGCGATGATATCCGGGTACGCGCAAAATGGGTTTTTAAAGGAGGCTGTGGAAATGTTCCGGGATATGCAGATTGGGAATGTGTGTCCAAATTATGTGACTTTGGTTAGTGTCTTGCCGGCGATATCACGGCTTGGTGCACTTGAACTAGGGAAGTGGATACATTTGTATGCCAACAAGAATGGAATCGGGATTGATGATGTGCTTGGTTCTGCTTTGGTGGATATGTACTGTAAGTGTGGGAGCATTGAGAAGGCACTTCTAGTTTTTGAGCAACTGCCGAAAAGGAATGTGATAACTTGGAATGCCATAATTAGTGGACTTGCTATGCACGGTCGTGTTGAGGATGCACTAGATTATTTTTTGAAGATGGAACGAGCTGGTGTGGTGCCTAGTGATGTAACGTACATTGGCATCTTGAGTGCTTGTAGCCATGCCGGTTTGGTGGAGAAGGGGCGATCATTCTTCAACCATATGGTTAATGTAGTCGGCTTAGAACCTAGAATCGAGCATTATGGATGTATGGTTGATTTATTAGGTCGTGCAGGATTGTTAGAAGAAGCTGAAGAGCTTATACTGAACATGCCAATTCAGCCAGATGATGTTACATGGAAGGCGCTACTCGGTGCTTGCAAGATGCAAGGGAACATCGATATCGGTAAAGGTGTGGCAGAGATTTTAATGGACTTGGCTCCTCGTGATAGTGGATCCTACATTGCTCTCTCGAACATGTATGCCTCTTTGGGAAATTGGGAGGAAGTAGCAAAGGTGAGATTGCGGATGAAAGATATGGACATTAGGAAAGACCCGGGAGGTAGTTCGATTGAGCTTGATGGAGCAATTCACGAGTTTGTGGTGGAAGACGACTCTCATCCTAGAGCCGGAGAAATCCATTCAATGTTGGAGGAAATTTCCGAAAAACTGAGCTTGGAAGGCCATAGGCCTAACACCACACAAGTGTTGCTCAACATGGATGAAGAAGAAAAACAAAGTGCTTTACGTTGTCACAGCGAAAAGATTGCAACTGCCTTTGGCTTAATCAGTACAGCCGCTCAAACCACGCTTCGAATTGTTAAGAATCTACGCATATGTGAAGATTGTCACTCTTCGATAAAGTTGATCTCGAAACTTTATAAACGCAAGATTGTTGTCAGGGATCGCAAGCGCTTCCACCACTTCGAAAATGGTTTATGCTCTTGCAAGGATTACTGGTAAATGCCTACATTATCAATTCAATTGTATTCAGATTCTTCTCCAAGTTAACCATTGCGTTATGTGATGAATGTACAATATTGTTATGTTTGACATAGTTTAAGAAGTCTACGTGCGTACTCATTGTCTGGAGCAGGAGCTGCTATTTGCACTTCAAAATAGTTATCATGCACTCCTTTCCAACAAAAAAAAAAAATTAAAAGGAGGAAGAGGAAAATGCGTGATAATTTTCCTGCTGCTTTAACTTTAACACTTTTGCTTCAAGAGCTAGACACATCAACATGAAAGTAACAAACCCAAAATCTTGAGGCAAGTAGCATCGCATGCAGCCATTGACCGAAAGGGGTTTTTTCATAAGCACTTTGACTTCCAGCCAAAAGCCAAAGTTATTAAACAGAATGATTAAGCAATTCAAATTGGGAGAAACAAGAAAGATTATAGTGATCATCTGGATTCACTTATGAATAGTCAACATTTAAAATTTAAATTGGAGGAATGCATGATTTATGTACTTTGGGGAGGCTAATTACATTTTGCATCCTTGAGGTTTGGGGGGCTTTTTTAAAAAGCCATGAAGTTTCAATTTTTCTCGTTTTATGCCATGTATTAAAATTGTATTAATTTATATTTTTGGTAGGATTGATTGTTTAATCTTTTATTAAATTGATGACATAATGAGTGTGTAATTCTTATATGAATAAACGTGTAAGATACATTTGCATCATATTGACAAAAAAAATATTATCAATTTAATGGAGTTTTAAACATTCAAATAGATAGAAGGTGTAAACTAACTTCAGTGCATAATATAAAAAAGGCTTAAATGTCAAAATGGTCCTAGCGTTTTACTATATCGACCAATTTAGTCATTGTGTTTTCAATTTGGCTAAATTGGTCCCTTGTGTTTACATTCATTAACCAAATCAAGACAATCTGTTAAAAGACACTTGAAATTGACACGTCCTAAATCGTATAATATTGAAGTGAATTGAACGAAGTGTCAATTTCTATACAAATACATTGTATTTGTTAGTGGGTGTACATAAATTTACATTTTTATCCTCTCACGTGCCTGACACATTTCAATTTTAACGGTCTTTTAATGTATTGTCTTGAATTTGGCTAATAGATATAAACACATAGACCAATTTGGCCAAATTTAAATCACATTAACTGAGTTGGCCGATAAAATAAAACACAAAGACTATTTTGACATTTAAACCTATAAAAAAAAAAATTGAAACCTCGAGACCAAAATTAAAATTTCCTTCAAACTTAAAGAGGAAAACCAAAAGAAGCAATCAGTGTGTCACCACCATGCTTAACAAACAGCTGTCGGTAAACTTGATTAATTATCTTAAAACAAAAAGGGAGATTCGTCCAATTAGACGAGGGATTGATGATGAAAAACATGCAATTAAGGGAACGATCAATTTCAGATTGACTGGCGTGACGCGGGAGTATGAACAGAAATCAATCCCATGAAATCTTTATTTCCTAGTCATTAATTTGAACATTATTTCTTGAAATTTCCACTTCATGTCTAATAACAACAGCAACACCACTAACAACAAAATTTTATCACACTAAGTGAAGTTGGTTGCATGATTTCTAGAGCGTCACTAGATGTATGAAATTAACTTCCACTTCATGTCTAATAAAGAAAGAGAATATCTTTACTCACCACTCTCAAGTGATCATGATACTCACCACCGTATTTATTATCGTTTTATAAGTTTAAATTTTAAGATTTGTTAAATTTTGAGATTTGTGTAATGGATAGTCACAAATTTAAAATTTAAACTCATTCAATAATAACAAGTAGGGTGGTAAACAATACTACTACTTGAGAATGTAAGCAAAAATGCACCCTTTCAGAACATTAACTTTCTAGTTTTATATATAAGTGTATTCCACATATCAAAAGATGAACGAAAAAGCCTCAAATGAGAAGGTAAATTAAAAAAATAGCTAACATTCCTCATGTAAATGATTTTTTATCAAATGAAACCTTCAACCTAGTATATTCAACTATATATTCTAAAAGGCCTATTTGGCTCCGGAGAGAAAAAAAAAAAAAAAAACCATTTCTCTCTACTTGTAAATCGTAATCTAACTTGCAAAAAAAAAAAAATCACTCGTTAAATTGGGAAAAATTCTTCAAGGATATCAAATTATGACATGTTTTTTCTGTGAGAAATAGTTCTCACACATCATTTTTCTCATTTTACACACACATATGTTTATTTTCGTCTTTTAATTTATTTAAGAAAATAAAAAAACTTAACGACCATAAATGAATATTGGTTTGCAGAGTCACTTCTCTTTTGTTTTTGACAAGTTCTAACAGCTAAACTAAACTACTCTAATATACGGGAAGTTCAAATTTAGCTCATTTATAGTCTTAACCATTTGACCTAATCTACAAATACGAATGACTCCATACATGTGAAAAATCAATACTAAATTGTGACCCACATGATGGAATGCTGGAACTCACCACATGTGAACATCACCTTTAACACCCTCTTTATCCAACGCCATGCTTTTATCTTTCACTCATAAACTTTTGCTTTGTGAAATCTGACTCACAACCTGTCAACCACAAGCATGCGGACCCACAGGATGCGGCGTGTGGAACACCATCAAAACCGACACTCAAATACATAGACACGTGTACGTCTCTAGGTTAAGGGCCACAGTAACTTCAGTACACCTGCACCTACCTGTGCCTTGAAAAGCAACCGTTGGTGCAACCCAATGAGTTTAAATTAATAAAAATAAAAAGTAAATCCAATTCCAAAGGTGGGCGTGCACCGCGCAGAACAAAAATTAAATATCAAAAAGCAAACCCCAATAATTTATTGAACAGAGTGAGGACCGAGGAGTGTTCTGTTTGTCGTGCTACAATCAGACTGAATGAGTTTCTGGTAAAAGTTAGTTAATTTTGGTCCTTGAACTTTAGTGTCAGTTTCACTTTGGCCTTTCATTTTGTTTATTTTTTATTTACTTATTAACTTCTAAATTGTGTTAAATGAGAACAATATAGTAACATAAGAAATAACGAACTTGATTAAACATGAATGTACAAATAGATAAAAAGAATGTGGTTATAACTTTAACAAAAATATTTTGACTTGCCTAACGGTAGTACTAAGTTTAGTTGGGCTTTTATGAATTTTGTAATCAAAACTTTGGTCGCTACCTGAAGGAAAAATCTAAACGAAAAATCCCTTAGTTGCCGACCATGGTGGTTGGCCTTAGGTTCGGCGACAATCTCTCTTGATCTCTTTCTTCTAATTCTTTATTTTTTTTTTTTTGTTTCTTTTATGTTTCTTTTCTGGTTGTGGTCACTCTTTTCATGTGGCGAAAAGTGTTTTCGTAATTGTAGTTGCTCTCTCACTATGTTGAGAAGAGCTTTTGTGATGGCTATGACTTACGGATCAAACTCGGATCTTTAAGCAGCGGCTATTGTTTAAAGCAAAGGTTGGTTTTTGGTTTTGTGCATGGCAAAGGACTATAAGGAGGAAAGTCGACATTTGTTGTAGTGCTTCTTTGCTAACAATTGCAAGACCATCAGAGGTGGTGCAACATTTTCCTCGTGATGCTAGCTGTTACAGTGGTTCTACAACTCGCAATGTTGTTATCTTTTTTGTTGGTTAGATATGACTCTTAGTGGTGGTTGGGGAATTGTAGTGTTTTATGATGAGTTTGTAATTGTGAATTTGTGTAGAGTTGTTTTGGCATGTGTGACCTCTTGGTTACGTTCAAGATGCAGGCCCATGTACCATGTATGTCGCTAATAGTTTGTTAATAAATTCTTATTACCTTCAAAAAAAAAAAAAAAGTTCGTTTTTTGGTTGAAACCAACCACGGCCGAATATATCAACAAGAACCAATGTTTGGATCAACAACAAATCAATGTAGCATTAAATTTAGACACATGTAAAATAGTTGTGTATATATTATTGTTTTAACACCCATTAATAAAAAAACTAAGAACCAAATCCATTGTTTTGGTTTGGTTTAGTTTGATCTGTTATATTACTACACACATGCATAACTAGTCACATGTAAGTAGATAGAGGACATTTTGTCAAAGTAAATGGATTTTTCAAGAACATCTCCATTGCACTTACAAATTTGGACTCAAATCTTATATGTGAATCTAAAGTTCTCCAATGCACCGGAGACTTAAAACTCATATATTATATATAAGTCTCCAACGAAGTCAAGACACAAATATGAATTTCGATTTGAGAATTGAGTCCAATGTGGAGCCCACGCCAATCAGAAAAATAGTGATTAAAAAAAAAGATATTTAAGTCTAGTCATCTCCAATGCACATAACCAAATTGTTAAAACTCAAATATGGGTTTTGAGTTCAATGTTTTCTCCTCCAATACAAAGGCTTAAATCTTAAAACTCTTTGCATTAAAGAAGATCAAAATATATAAATCCACTTGGTCTAGAATTTGAGTCTTTGCATTGGAGATTAATTGCACCTCAAGAATGATCAAATCTTATTATCTAACTTTTTATAACGAAAGTCACATTTTTGTCTTTATATTAAACACACTGTAATAGATAAGCAAATCTCAGTGAAGGTGAAGTATTCATTATGGACAATAATGCAAGAGGATTCTATGATATTGTAACAAATCAAACAGTTAAGAAACACTATTATTTTGTTATAAATGTTATACCATGTCCGTTGTCAAAGAAAGCAAACACATACAAAAGTCTAGGACCAATTTGAGAACAAAAAAATATGAAGGATCAAAGTGACAAAAACCTCAAAAGTATTGGGGCCCAATCACAAAATTAACCCGCTAAAAATTGAAACTTTATGCACCAATCCAACGGTGGATAATTAACATAGTACGGATGTGATATCAAATCAAAGGCCCCTACCCATAATAGACTAGGAGATCACTCATAGTCAACACTGTTGTCAGCTTTTCCACAAAAACAGAGCTTCTTTGAATTGCCCACCACCTACAACACCACCTTTCCTCTTTCCACTCTCTCTCTAAACCCTCTGCTTCTTCCATGGAGGTTTCGAAACGTTTCTCTCTCTACATTTTCCTCCTCTGCTTCCTCCTACCCTTAAACAGCACCCCCACTGAGTCTGTTTCTGCAGATGTCGAGCTTCTCCTGGGAAAAATCAAAGCTTCACTGCAAGGTAACTCTCAGAACTTGCTCTTATCTTCCTGGAACTCCTCTGTGCCTCTCTGTCAATGGAGGGGACTCAAATGGGTTTTCTCCAACGGCTCTATTTTGCTCTGCACTGACCTAACCTCCCCCCAATGGACCAATTTGTCTCTCTCCAGAGACCCATCTCTCCACCTTTTCTCCCTTCAGCTCCCATCTGCCAATCTCTCTGGTTCGCTCCCCAGAGAGCTGGGGGAGTTCTCAATGCTCCAAAGTTTGTACCTTAACATCAATTTCCTCAGTGGGACCGTACCATTGGAACTTGGGTACAGCTCTTCCCTCTCTGACATTGATTTGGGAGGAAATTTGTTGAATGGGGTTTTACCACCCTCGATTTGGAACTTGTGTGACAATCTGATTTCCCTTCGGGTTCATGCAAATTCGCTGTCCGGGTCGGTTCCTGAACCTGCATTGCGAAACTCCAGCTGCAAGAATTTTCAGTTTCTTGATTTTGGTGGAAACAAGTTTTCTGGGAATTTCCCAGAGTTTGTAACCCAGTTTGGTGGGCTTAAAGAGCTTGATCTTGGGAGTAACATGTTTTCGGGTCCGATTCCTGAGGGTTTAGCGCAGTTAAACCTCGAAAAATTGAACCTTTCACATAATAATTTTAGTGGGGTGTTGCCTGTTTTTGGTGGATCAAAGTTTGGTGTGGAGGCCTTTGAGGGTAACAACCCTGGACTTTGTGGGGCACCTTTGAAAAGTTGCAGTGGAAGCTCTGGGTTGAGTCCCGGGGCAATTGCCGGCATCGTTATCAGTTTGATGACTGCAACTGTGGTTTTGGCTTCATTGTGTATTGGATATGTGCAAAACAAGAAGAAAAACAGCAGGGAAGAGAGTGAAGATGAGTTGGAGGAAGAAGAAGATGAGGAAAGTGGCGGTGGTGGGGGTGGTGATCAAGGGAGGCTTATTTTGTTTCAGGGCGGCGAGCATTTGACGTTGGAGGATGTGTTGAATGCCACAGGACAAGTTTTGGAGAAGACGAGCTATGGGACTCTTTACAAGGCAAAGCTTTCAGATGGAGTGACCATTACTTTGAGGTTGTTGAGGGAAGGTAGTTGCAAGGATGGGAGCTCTTGTCTTCCTGTGGTGAAACAATTGGGGAGGATTCGGCATGAGAATTTGATTCCGCTGAGAGCTTTCTACCAGGGGAAGAGAGGGGAGAAGCTTCTGATATATGACCATCTTCCTCACAGAAGCCTTCATGATCTTTTACATGGTATGCATTTATTTCGTGCTTATGCAGTTGTTCTGTGATATTGAATAGTTTATGTTTGTCTATTAAGTAATTAGCTTTGAAATACTTCAGTACTTTGTTTTGTAGTTGATACATTTTATGTCCTTGGCCTCTTTTGATTGTTGAAACATTTCAAACCATCAATATTCGATTATCGTCCTAGATATCAGTTTCTAGTAATAGCTAATTGTAACATCGGAAAACACGATCAAACGAGAGTTTAACAGTTCACTACCCTAGGCTTGGGAGGACTTTGATACCTGAAAGGATTCACTGGCATTAAATGTCACAGGAGATGGATTGTTTTCCCAGTCCAGCATACGATTACTTTCTACAATTTATATGGATATGAAAGAGTGGAAACTTAATTACAAGGATCTTGCACTCAACTCTTTCGTAGGGGTCGTTTTGATAATTCATAAAAGCCCTTTGGAAGATTTGGAAACAACAGATTATATTTAGGCTGGCTCACGTTGAGCAACCTCAAAATCTCTTTTTCCTAACCCTATGTTTCTCAAATTGGAATCAACATATCTTCTACAACCAATGACCAATAGAGTTCTGAAAGCTTGTTGAAGAAAATGCATACGTCTTCAAAGGGTTCACATCTTATTTGCTACCTACTTGTTAACTTATCGACACTCACTGCAGAATTGTTTAACTGTTTATCATCTGTTTTTGCTGGATGCAGAAACCAGAGCGGGAAAACCTGTGCTGAACTGGGCTCGGCGACACAAGATTGCACTGGGAATAGCTCGAGGACTAGCGTATCTTCATACCGGTCTTGAAACACCTATCACTCATGGGACAGTAAAATCTAAGAATGTGCTAGTGGATGAATTTTCTGTAGCTAGGCTCACAGAATTTGGGCTTGACAAGCTAATGATCCCTACAGTAGCTGATGAAATGGTGGCAGTTGCAAAGAATGACGGTTACAAGGCACCAGAGCTTCAAAAGATGAAGAAATGTAGTTCAAGGACAGATGTTTATGCATTTGGAATTCTTCTGTTGGAAATTTTGATAGGCAAGAAGCCTGGTAAAACTGGGAGGAGTGGAGAATTTGTGGATTTGCCTTCGATGGTGAAAGTTGCAGTCTTGGAGGAGACGACACTGGAGGTTTTCGATGTGGAGGTACTGAAGGGGGTGAGGAGTCCCATGGAAGAAGGTCTTTTTCAGGCTCTGAAGCTCGCAATGGGTTGCTGTGCACCGGTTGCATCGGTTAGGCCCTCCATGGATGAAGTTGTGAAGCAGTTGGAGGAGAACAGGCCAAGGAATAGGTCTACTTTGTACAGCCCCACAGAGACGAGGAGTGAGATTGGTACCCCATTTTGAAGCTGCCATTTCTTCAAAAATGTTCAAAATTATGACTTACATTAAATTGAAGGCTTCTTTCGTTCGCTCGCTCGCACTAACGCTTGCTCTTTTATTTATTAGCCTAAGCGTCTTCGCAGTTGAAAATGTTATGCATCTCTGATTCAGTAGAGAATTGCAGGACTTCATGGTGATAGGATTTCTTCATTTGGTGCTTATATTTTTAGGATGAAAAATCAATTCATGGTCTGTGTTTTGTGATGACATGCTTCTCTTTTAGTCTTCCTTTTCAAGCAAGTGTGCTCGAATGTGTACCCAAAATCCCATCCATACATACATGTATGTATGTATGTATGTGTGTGTGCGCGCGCGCACGCGCACTGCAAATTTCAATGCAGAAAAATCAAATGTTTTAGGAAATATTTTGGCTTACTATCTTATTTATCACCGTTGGATGAGTTTAAATTTTGAGATCTATGTATTAGATAGACAAATTACAGAATTTAAACTCATCCACTGGTAATAAATATGGTGGTGAGCATTACCAGTAATTGAAGGTGGTGAGCAAAAATGCACTCAATGTTTCACTATAAAACAAGGGTGCAGTTTTGCTCATCACTCTCAAGTGATGGTAGTAATGCTCATCACTCTATTTATTATCAATGGTTCTTCAACTAAAACTTCATGACCATTGATTACTTAACTCATCAAAATATGCAGCTATAGTTTTTTTTGTCAATTCCGTTAGAATTCTGTCAAAATGAGTCATGTTGGAAAGACCACAGCTACAATTAAGTTAAAGTTGAGAGACCATTTCTCCAATTGAGTTAAAGTTGAGGGATCATTACTAGAAGTGGGTTAAAATTGAGGGACCATTACTACAATTTTCTCTTGTATCTATTCACTACACATATCTCGAAATTTAAACTCATCCAATAATGATAAATGGGATGGTGAGCAAAAATATTCTCATAAATAGGATGGTAAGTATCATCATCACTTAATCATCTTTGTAATAATTAAGAATGTCTAAATTCTTATTTATTTATAATTTGTTTTTGTTTTATTATCAATTTAGCTCATGAGAATAATGGGCTTTATTTTTTGGGAAAAACTCTTAAATACCACTATTATTGCAGCAAGGTTCTCAAGAGAACTTCCTGCATGTTGTGCCTGCAACATATGGTACTTATGCTATATAAATTATACTTTGCAATTGATGTGCAGTGATAATACCAACAATGTATTGATATAAGGGAATGATTTTTGCACCACTCTTTATTTTTCGATGTTCGAATAAATAATTAAAGGAGAATTAGGGAGCTGAAACAAAAGAAGAACGGTATAGAGAGAAAACAGAAATGATGGAGAATTAAGGAGCCGAAACAATTGAAGACACGTGGAAGGAGAAAACAAGAATGACGAAGTCATTTCTTACGGATGCCATGAGACTATTTGTTACCGTAATAGCGCTATCTGGGAACATTAGCCTATTTGGTTTCTTTGTTTCCTTGCCTAACCATATTGCAAGAACAAAGAGGGTGACAACTGCATAGCTTGTACATGCAAAATCTTAAACAAGCTTAGTTGGATAAAATGTGCTCATGTTTTTTAGGTCACATGTAAGACAATGTGGCCTTGTCATCAAATATTTCATTGCCTAAAGTGCAATTACAATATTATATGGACCAAAGAAAATACAATTACAAACAAACAAAAATGCAACAGGTAGAAATGTGACTAGAAAAAATGTACACTTTTTGGGAGAGATCACGTCCAGTATTCTGGACGTGGAGCGGCGCCCTCGCCTGGTCCAGTAACTGGCCGAAGTTCGCCGGGGCTTTCATCTCAAATATTTGATTGGGGCAAATAGTGGGAAAGGGATGTAAATATAAGTGCTGCAAACTCACCAATAATCAAAGGAAAGAAAGAATGGGTAATAATTTCTTTCTTCCTTCTGTTCTTGTTTCTCTTCTTTTTTTTATTTTTTTTATTTTTTTTATGGGATTGAAATATAATTAACATTGGAAACCCCTCTGGCAGTTGAGGACGCCAGCGCTGGCCGTGATGGAGCCAACCAGGGAAGATGACTTGGCCCCCAAGCTAGAGGCCCTGGCATAGCTTGCTCCGGAACCAGTTCCTGATGCAATGAAATAGGCTCCATTCAGCAGCAGGTCTCCTTCTGATCTCCAGTTCCAGTGCTTCCAATCATTTGGGTCAACTCTATGTGTCACCTGCAAATTATCAATTAAAAAATTTACAATGTTTTTCAAATTCCAACCTCGCCATCTTAATTAGAGGCAGACAATAACGGAGCATTAAATTTCGATATATATACAGCTTATTGGCTATTACCGTTCCCTAATTCATTTACTTACAATTTATAACCGATTTTATTTGTGCATTTTAACTCCTTTATCAAAATTAGCTTTTTATTTTATTATTATTATTTTTTTTTCAAGTTTATACCTCCTTAGCAAAAGCATTGTTAGGGGCCAGATATCTGTTGCCCTGGCTGTTAATTGTGGGTTCGGCACTTCCACCAATGGCGTACATCTCCCAATGTGTGTAGTCATTGTTCACCACATGGAAGTACCCGTGCCTACACCTGCAAATTTAATTCAATTGGGGACCAATTAATAAACTCAGAACATGTGACAGTTTTCTCAATTGCAGGATAGTTGCGGAATGTGATCAGCTGGTAGACAGGCAGAATGCAGCCGATCGACCGGTGACTCACAACCCGCAAGGTAATAATCACTTAAAAAAAATGTTACCTTGGCATCCTCTGAATAAGTCCCTCACCAAAATGATTGTAGGCAATTGTCACTTGCATAAGCTTGTCCCTTACATAGGAGTCACTGTGGCCCAGTAGCATAACCTTTTCCAATTACCAACATAAATTTTTTGTTAATCTCTTGTTGTGCTTCTGATAAAAGTGCTTATGAGTAAATGTTTCTTACGAAAGCAATCCGGACAAACCTAGTTACGTACCTCATTATGGTGGGTGAAATAGTTGTTGGAAATGGTAAGTGCAGTAGAGCCCATGATAGCATCAACGAGCCCATCAGCACATTTGGAAAGAGAATTATGGTCGATCCAAATGTGGCTGGATCCAAAAATGGAAATCGCGTCGCCGTCCGCCATCGTTCTCCAACCGTAATGGCTCGGCGAGCTCCGGACCATGGCATTTCCGGTGGGTTTGCAGTCATGGATATGCAGCCCATGGATGATGACGTTAGTAACATATTGAATCGTAATGCATGCCCCATATGCAATGTGCACATTGACTCCACGTGCATCAATTGTCTTGAAGCTGTTCATAATTAGCTCTTGCTTTAGTGTGATCACCATGTCACGCTTGAACACAATCCACAACGGCCTATCCTGAATGACAGCGTGGCGGAGTGTTCCGGATCTAGGGTTGATGGGATCGTCGTTGCCGGGGTTGTTCACGACATAGTATTTTCCGTCGCGTCCGCCCACGGCGTTGCGCCCGAACCCTATGCCGCAGTTGGCTAAGCGCTTGCGGTGGAGCTGCCAATGTGGGTCACACCTCCAACAATCATCAATTGGATTCCCCGTCGCACACGAAAAGAATCCCAAATTTCTTCTCTCTGTGCTATTACGAATGCTCCTGAAAATAATTACAAATAAACAAATAAATCATCACATTGTTAATTTAAATAAATGAATAAATAAGCATGTGAAGCAAATAATGTAATGTCACATGCATAAATAATGTTAAAGGGGCCAAAGGGCCATGCGAATAAAATGGTAGGGACATAAAATATTTTGACAATTATTAGGGATAAGAAGGGTACGGTCCATACGGAAATTGGGTTTCTTTTATTTTATTTTTTATTTTTTTTCCTAAATTTAGTGACACAGAGTAATAAATGGTAAGTTGCACAATATTTTTAATTTGTTCATATTGTTGTGTCGGTGGAGAATTAGGGTTTTATAAAAACTGCATGGGAGCATTGAATGAGGTCATGGCGGACCTATTGAACAACGTAGTTTCTGTCAGTAGGGTTAGTTGCTGGTGCTGGATCGGCTAAAAAAAGAAACAAAATTCTGATGAGAAAAAAGGTTTTCTGGTACAAAACCAGATCTGCGATATCTTGCCAGGCTGGGGATGGGGAGCAAAATTGAAGCAGAATAGACCCCACTGAAATGGGGAATTATGATCATTTCTAAGTGAATTAAACAGTTAAATGAGTGTTAGAAACATAATATTAGGGGAAAATAATGTAATTACTGACTGTGTCTTGATATGGATGAGACAGATTGTTCATATGATGATGGGGTGAATGATGAAAGTTTTTTACTCTTGAGTGCATTGTATTCATCACATAAAAAGCATTGGATTCTAAAGTGCTAATTATTGCAAATTTGGTTCCCATGATTGGTGTTGGAAAGGCAACTAAGAGAGTTTGAGTGCAAACAGGATATGGTTTTATATGATATATAACTGAAGTGTGGTATGTAGTGATTGATATTTGTCTTGAAATAAGTACGGGTAGCAATTTTATCATTTTGAATTTAGTTTTTCGTAGTCCAAATGAGTATACTACGTAGCTTTGTAAACTCCTAGAAGAAGTGTCGAAAGCTAAACTGAGAGGGATCAACTCTTTACTCCTAGTAAGTACATTAATTAACTAAACTTTTTTTTTTGAGTTGAGCGATATTGTCATTAAGTTAGAAATTAGATTTTCCACTAACGGGGTTCGAACCTACACCATCATGCAAGGGCGTCACTTCTCTCCACCACTGTGGTAAAGGGCCACTTGCAATTAACTAACTTTTTAGATAAGTTATTGTGTGGTACTGTAACATTGTTACGTGATATAATCTGTTTGCATGCAATATATAATATATATGAGTGATTGTCTATTGATATCAAACAATAAACTCTACACCAGCATCCATCTGTACAATACATGAGCTGATTATACCACGTGCTAGTGTTTCACTATCACGCTAACAATCTTTCCACGTGAAGAGGAGGCTTTAGAATTTAGTGAGGTGGAAAAACAACCCTAAGGTGCACAAAAATATGCATTGGCACATAAAGCTGATGGAGATAGAATGAGATTTGGATAAGGGGAAGGAGAAAGAAAAAAAAGACAAGAAAATAATAATGCAAAACGTGAGGAGCGGATCTGGCGACATGGGCATGTGAGGAAAAAGAAAGAGAGGTTGCTGCTGCAAGAACATGCCAACAACTGGGTGGTTGATTCCCCAGAAATACAAAATGTTTA